GTGTGGTCAGTAACTGTGTCAGGAAGAAGAGGTGATTTCAGAAAGGTGATGAGTGTGGTCTTAAAATACTTCAATGTTGACATCCAGGTAGAATTGTCCAGCAGGCACGCAAGGGTGAGGGGTAGAGAGGGAGAGGCAGGAATTGTAAGTACAGACGTAGGAGTCACTTTAGGGGAAGCTGGAATTACGACCAGGAGACTGGGGACAGGGAGCCCGCTGCGGACACCCCTGCTCCTGATAAACATGGGATTTGGACATGACCTTGAACTTGCCTGTGCCTCAATGTCCTTATAATGGGAGAGCAGTGGAAGGTTCAGGGAGCTTGATGGGGGTGGTCCAGATCTACAGTGTTACCAAACCAGGGACAGGAGGGCTTGGGGCAGGGGTTGCCATGTGAAACCACGGAGGTGGGGGACTGAACTCCACTTGAGTGACTTTGAGGGCAGCATCTTCACTGTGATGTCAGTTAGCCTCGTGCAGGTTTCCGCAACGTCCAGGTGTTACTATTTTCTTTCACATGGGTGGCAGAAGTTGTGTCTCTGGGGCTGATGTTGTGGTGTGAGGGGTTAAGGCACCACCTGCAATGACAGAATCCCAAACGGGTGCCAGTTCAAATCCCAGCTACTTCACTTCTGATCCAGCTCCCTGCTAATGCACCTGGGAAAGCAGTGGAGGATGGCCCAAGTGCTTGAGCCCCTACACCGTGTGGGAGACCTGGATGAAGCTCCTGGCTCTTGGTTTTGGCCTGGCCCAGCCCTGGCTGTTGGAGCCATTTGGGGAGTGAACCAGCGGATGGAAGACCTCTCTGTCCCTCCCTCTTTCTCTCTTTGTAACTCTGCCGTTCAAAAATAATTTTTTTAAAAAAAGAAGTTGTGTTTCTGTAGATTTAATAGCACATTGCTTGTATGATTTTTACTGTTCCCACAGTAAGAGCGGGAAGCCTAGAGGTGGAGAGAGAAGGGAGGAGCAGGGGAGTTAAACCCAGAGGCAGAGGCAGAGGCAGCAGAGGGAGTCCCGATTGCTTCAGCAGAGCGTGTTTTTCTGTACCTACCCAAGTCCGAGCCTTACGCAGTGGAAAGAGTGCTCACTGTTCTGAACATGGGGAGATGGTGCGGACGGTGGTGAGGAGGCCAAAGGCCTGCCCGCAGCGGGGACCTGCTGTCTTCCTAGAGGCACAGCCAGCCGGATGGGCGGTGTCTGTCCAGCAAAGGAGCCGCCCTTTTGCCCTGGCGTCTGGAGAGCAGGGCACGGGGCCAGGGGTGTTTCTGGGGTTGAAGTTTGAGTCTCAGTGCTGGTAGACCAAGCCTCCCTGCCTGCCACTGAGAAGGAAAGCGAGCCTTAGGGCTGGGCGGTTCTTCCCCTAGCTATGGAGAAGCGGGCTCATTTTATTTGCAAGAAAGGATGCCCTCAGGGAGGCGCTCCACTGCCCGTACCCTCCCCTGAGAGCTGGGTCCAGTGCACACAGCTGGGTCCAGTGTGGACAGCTGGGTCCAGTGCGGGCAGCTGCCGCCATCAGCTTCCTGCACCTGTTTCTCTTGGACACCACTCTGGCCACCAGACACGCAACTTCCATCCCTGTCTTTAAAGCATGGTGAGAATGATCTTGGCTGCTCCGGCTGACCACCCGCAGTGCCCTTCCTCCGTGTTCTTAGGGGCGAGTCTGAGCGCCCCTGAAAGACAGCTCTCGGGTCTAGCACGCGGGAGCGCCTTCCATTAGAACTGTTCAGGGCAGTCTAGCTATTTGGTGGAAATCTAAGGTTTTCTTACAGTGCAGGCACTCATGCTTTTCATTTTTGTTTTCTGAAGGTGGATAGCTTGGGGCCTGGAGGTGGCCGAACAGGGGTGATATATGCAGGCTGGGAGCCGGGCCACCTTCTCTTTCTTTCTCTTGCTGGAAGAAAAGCTGGAGGGGGGAGAGGCAGATCAGGGAGACGATGTGGAGAGGGAAGCCTTGGTCTCCAACGCAGTTGTGCGGGGATTCCCTGAGTATAAGAGAAAAGCCATAACTAGCTTCAGTTTGTTCCCTTATTCACAGTGCTGCTACGTATGAGGACACTGCAGAGTTCATGAAAAAATGGAATTAAAAGTTTGAGTTTATTTTGGTGTAAAAAAATTGAAATCTATGCACAGTTTTCTCATAAAATGCATTTTCTATGTAAAATGAAAAATCGCAGTAAAACATACTGTTTTTAAAAAAGATTTATTTATTTTGCTTGGAAGTCAGAAGTCAGAGTTACACAGAGAGAAGGAGAGGCAGAGAGAGAGAGGTCCTCCATCCGCTGGTTCACTCCCCATTTAGCCTCAATGGCCTGAGCTGTGCAGATCTGAAGCCAGGAACCAGGAGCTTCTTCCAGGTCTTCCACATGGATGCAGAGGCCCAAGGACTTGGGCCATCTTCTGTTGCTTTCCCAGGCCATAGCAGAGAGCTGGATACGAAGTGGAGCAGCCGGGTCTTGAACCGACTCCCATATGGGATGCCAGCACTGCAGGTGGCGGCTTTACCCACTACGCCACAGTGCCAGCCCCACATACTGACCTTTGATTCCATTTCTACCAACTTTTAGAAGTAGTCTCTGGGCCAGTGCTGTGGCGTAGTGGGCTAAGCTTCCACCTGTGGCATTGACATCCCATAGGGGCGCCAGTTTGTGTCCTGGCTGCTCCACTTCTGATCCAGCTCCCTGTTAATGGCCTGGGAAAGCAGCAGATGGCCCAAGTGCTTGGGCCCCTGCACCCCAGCGGGAGACCCAGATGAAGCTCCTGGCTTCTGGCTTCGGATTGGTCCAGCTTTGGCCATTGTAGCTATTTAGGGATTGAATTAGTGGATGGAAGATACCTCTCTCTCTGCCTTTCAAGTAATAGCCCTTCTATTTGCCAAAGATACGTTTCTCATGCAACCAGCACACTTAAAGACCAGTGCTTGGTCATACATTATGTGGATGATATCTTACTTGCTCATGAGAATGCGGCAACTCTGAAGGCCTGTCTAAGTGAAACAGTAAGACATTTACAATTCCTGGGTTTGTCTATTGCCCCAGAAAAGGTACAACGTTTTCCTCCCTTTCAATTCTTAGGTTATCAAATCTCCTCCCATATATCTCCAATGGACCCAAACCTAAAAGTCAAGCATAAATATTCAGTTAATGAACTTTAGCAACTGTGCGGCCAAATCAATTGGCTGAAGCCCTTCCTTCCCCTAACACCTGCAGAGCTGTTCGATTTACTGACTAAGGGGAACAGCCCTTCTTCAAAAATCGCATTGACACCAGCAGCCAAATCCACTATAGAAAAGATCAACACCCAGTTGTCAAATTTAAAAACCTTTAGATATGACCCCCAGGTGCCTCTATTTGCCATAACTGTATCTACCCTCAAGGCCCTCTTAGGAGTTATTTGGCAACAACATGGACCACTTTTTTGGGTGCACAAAGCCTGGAGCGAGTGTCGTAAAATAGTTAACCAACTAGATGCCATCCTTATGATGGGACTTAAATTAAGATGTTATACCAATAAGATATTTAACACAGAGCCAGACATAGTGGCCCTACCCCTATCACAATTAGAACTGTTGACATTGTTGCAGAATAGCACACTCTTTCAAATTTTAATGATAAATTTCCCAGGACAGGTTGACAATCGCATGCCAGCAAACAGGCTACTCCAGATGTTACAAACCTTAGAAAGAGACTACCCAAAACATGCTTTCCCTGCTAATCAACCTATACCCATGGTACCGTGTGTGTTTACGGATGCCAACAAGTCACTGTTTGGAATAGTGATCAAATCCTCCACAGAAAAAGATAAGATCCATGTAGAACCCCTCAGGGGATCCGTACAGTTGGGAGAAATAAGGGCAATAATCAAGGTTAATACTCCTTAGCCAGGATGGGTCGGTAAATATATTTTCAGACAGCAAATACTCAGTACAGGTAGCAAAGACTATCCCTTTTGCAGTCTTTAACCCGACCAATAAACCAATTGACCGGATGTTCACAATGCTTAAAGAGCTGAGAACAGAAAACACCTATGGTATATCTCACACATAAGATCACATACTGGGTTACCTGGCTTCATTTTCCAAGGCAACAAAAAGGTTGATCGTCTTATCTCCTGCAACATGGCTTCCATTGGACACCTGGAACAAGCCCGTATTCTACACCAAAAATTTCATATGTCAGCAAGCAACATAAAATTGCTTTTCCTGGAGCTAACAATGAGCCAATGCAAACACCTAGTGCACTCTTGCAAGAATTGTGCACCCCTCGCCCCGTTAGGCCCACTGCAACAAGCAGGAGTGAACCCGTGAGGCCTTGCTCCTAATAAGCTCTGGCAAGTGGATGTCACCCACATTAACTCCTTTGGTAAACTTAAGTTTGTCCATGTGGTGGTAGATACTTATTCAAAGGCTGTATTGGCAACCAGCCCAATCCGGAAGAAAAAGGCTAGTAATGTGATAAAGGCAGTTAAATCAGCCATGCTGGTCCCTGGTGTCCCCTGGACCATAAAGACTGATAACGGGCCAGTGTATACATCACAGGAATTTAATTCCTTCCTGAAATCCTGGAACATACAGTCTGCCACAGGTATCCTATACAACCCACAGGGACAGGCAATCATTGAAAGAACTCATAGGACAATTAAAGATCTCTTACAAAGACAGAAAAACAATCATATGCCCCCAGACCTACAGCTTGCTTTGACTGAGGTCTTTCTCACTATCAATTTTCTTACTTTTGATTCCCAAGGGATCAGCTCAGCTTATAAACACTGGGGATCCTTTCCATCCCAGACCCCAGCCCCTATGGTTAGGTGGAAAGTCCCCCTGACAGGAGAGTGGAAGGGACCACACCCTCTGCTAACCAAGGGCCAAGAATATGCTTGTGTCTTTCCAGAGAATGCGGGACAGCCCATTTGGGTACCAGCCAGAAACATTAAACCTGCAACTAACAGTCAACCAGAACCAGCTGAACAAGACTGAGAGTCCGCCTTGTTAGCGGACTCACCTGCCCTATCATCCTACCCTGAGAAACTGCCCATAGCCACATCCGCTACTGTTTTATACCCACTGGGTCTGGTCAGCCACTCAAATGGCCCACAGCCTGTATGCGGTCATGCCATTCCTGATTACCATTGTTCCTCATTCCTACCCCTATCTGAGCAAGCACTCCTGTGGTCTCCCGTTTTGAGCACTGGTTAGTCAATGACGGGTAAGATCCCCTAGGGGACAACCTAAGGCAGGCACAGCCGCGTACGGAGACCACATAGAAACGGGGTCAACAATGGTATGGCCAAGAATCATGCCTCCCATTGCTCAAAAATAAAAACGGGGAAATGTGGTAGAATGAGAAGGCCATGCCAAGATGGCCACTGACAATAGAGCCTGCCTGGCAACAGGTTGTCATTGGATGGCTTCGGAAACCACATGACAATGGAGCCTGCCTGACAACAGGCTGTGATTGGATGGCTTCGGAAACTGCCTGGCAACAGGCTGTGATTGGTTAGGGCATAGACCGCCCCTTGACCAGATTGGCTGCCTTGGCTATATAAGCTGCTGTACCAATTGAAATAAACAAGTTTGTGGGCTGCTCGCCTCTGGCCTGCTTTCACCCGACTCCCAGGGTCTGTGTGGTGACTCTGCACCTCTTGCCCCCACCATACTCTTCCTCTTAGAATGAATCCACACCAACAGAGGGTGTCCCTGGAAGAGGCAACAGCCTGTGCAATGATCCTGGGGCAGGGGAAATCATAGAATGTTCAAGAACTTAAAAGAAGGGCGGAGTGGCTGGGCACAGAGAGCCTTCATATATTTGCTGGCCATGTGCATTTATTCTTTTGAATTGCTGGTTCATGTGGTCAGTTTTTCTGTTGATGTTTTTATCTTTTATTCATTTGTAAAAACTTTTGCTATGTTCACCCTTCCACACGTATTACAGTTATTATCCTTGCACTTTTCATTTGCCTTTAACCATTTATGATAATTCTATTAATGCTTTTTCACTGCGGTTTCTGCTGTTTGCTATCATGCTTAGAAAGTCCTTTGTTTTCCCAATCAGAGGTTATTTACGTATCCACCTCTCCAGTTTTATGTGTGTGTGTTAGGAGAGGTGGGGTGCGGTGTGTTTTTATCCAAGCGGTTATCCAGTTGTACCAGCAGACTTTACTGAATAGCCCACCCTTTCCCATCGTTTTGCAATGCCACCTTCACGGTGAACTCCAATGGCAAAGGTATGTTGGTCTGTTCCTTGATGTTCTTTTATATTCCATTGTTTGGTGTCTCTTCCTGTGGAGATAGTGAACTGTTTAACTGCTTGTACCTTTAACATCTGATAGAGCAAATCCCCACTCATTACTCTTCTTTTTCAAAACTTTCTCAGCTAGTCCCATGAAATTCTTCCAGAGGAACTTTAGAATCATTTTATAAATTTCATAGCCCAATGTGGGGACGGGTAACATTTACACAATACTCATACTCTCAGAAAAATGGCGACCCTCTGTATTATTTAAATCTCCCTTTGGGTTATTTGGTAGAAAGAATATTCTTGAAGACAGCATCAACCCTCAAGACATGGCAGCTTGTCTGGGAGATGCCACTGACCTAGAGACATGAAAACTAGACAGCCTGCAGGGAGGACCTCTCTCCCATGTGCCCCCGCTGTGCGCCTGTCTGGGCGAGGCTCTCCCTGGGGTGGGGGTCTCCTGGGGCAGGGGCAAGCTTCAGGTGGGACTGTGATGGAGCAGTGAGGGGCAGCACTCTGCCCCGGGCGCTTTGCTCCTGACATGCCCCTCTAGTAGGTGACCCGTAGCTGGTTTCACACCCCACTCTGAGGCCCTGGGAAGTTTCCAGTTTCTCCTTCGGGCTTAGAGCAGTGGCTGCCCCCAGTCATGAACTGGGGAGAAGGAGTTAGGGTCCCCCGTGGTGTGCCTGCCCACACAGTTGTCAGTCATACCTGGCGTGTGGGCAGCAATGTTGAGTGTCCCACTGTTTGTGTATTTCAAACAAGACCTGCACCTGCAGACACTGGGCTGCCCCCTCAGGGGACCTGGGGACCCCTGGTGCATCTGCATGGGGAGCTCGGTGGGGGCCGAACACATCAGGGAGACGCACCCAGGGCCGTGGGACCCTCTCCGGGCTCTGCTGGCGGCAGCTGCCCTGCCTCCCCTCGAGCTGGGCTGGCGAGATGCAGCCGCAGCTTTGCTATTTTTAAGCTGGCCGCCGTGCTCCAGTGGAGGCTGCCGTGTCTGATGCTGAATCATGATCCCGCTTGCTAAATGCAGCGCCCGGGGCCTGCCGAGTACCCAGACGGGCATCTGGCTCTGCATCTGGGGCTCCCGCGACTGAGTGGGGAACAGACCGGGCGCCGGACGCCCTGCCACAGGGCTGCAGGGCAGGCCTGCGCTGCCGCCCTTACCTTTGGGCTTTCTAAAAAATCAAAAGCGCTGCCCCCAAAGAGCACCGGATTATTATGGGCTGGGTTTCAGGACTTTGCATATGAAACATGTAAATTCAGCAGTCGACGCTACCTTTTCCCCCTCCCCTAGAACAGTTAGCACCTGCCTGCGAACCACGCGGAACATGTGTAACACACAGGGGCGGCTGGGCATGGGAGGTCCAGGCTGTCGCCAGCAGTGGGGGTTGGCTGTGTGCTTGTTGTGTTCGGGAACAATGGCCATGTAAGGAGTGTCCCTGCGGCCGTGTTCTCTGGCTCTGACCGTCTTAGTAATGAGGCCACAGGACTGGCAGGGCCACACAGGGAAGAGCTATGCGACCCCCACCCCCACCTGTGGCTGAGGCCTCTCTGTGGCAGCTGAAGTAGGCAGACTGAGGTGACCTCCAGACCAAGGTGACCCGCGACAGATCCTGAGCGCTGATGCCCTGCCGTGTTCTCGCAGGGCAGGCTGCTCTCCTCCTGCCCCAGAGCCATTTTCCTGCCTCTTCCCTCACGTGCAGGTACAGTGCACCCCCAGCTGAGGCCTGCACCTGTGTGTCCCCTGAGATGCCCGTCTCTGCCTCTGTCCCCTCGGAAAGGCCGACAAGCGGAGCCTGGGCTCTCCGTCCGTGCCAGGAGGCAGGGCTGGTTTCCAGCGGGCTGAGCTGCCTGGAGGAGAGTGGTGAGGGACACGTGTGGGACTCCCTGGGGCTTAGGCTGAGAACGTCATCTTCAGGGGTGGGATTTGAGGCCTGTGGGGTAGAGGAGGACAGTGTAAAAGGGCTGGGGCGTATGTGTCACCTCGCTGCTGTGGGAGCACCCGGGCCCCTTTGGCTCAGCATCTGAGTGGCTGCTTCTCCCAGGACTACTGAAGGGGCCCTGTGCTGGGTGAGGGCAGGCATGCGGGGCAGGCCTCGGCCCCAGCCAGTGCTTTGAGATGGGTGGCACCAGGCTGCTGCTTCCTGTGGGGTCTCTGGTGTACATCTCCTGACTCTGGTGAAGTCAGCAGTGTCTCAGGGCATCAGGAGTCACTGGGGAGTTTCTGCAAAGAGGAATTCCTTGGCCTTGCACTGTGGACGCTGGGAAGGCCTCGCCCGTGTAGCATGGGAATTACAACGGATCTAAAAGCAGACTTGAGATTGGGCAGCTGGCTGCATCTGGTAACCCTGCAGTCCTTTGCCAGATTGGGGTGCAGTCTGGTTGTGGACCAGGCCACAGACTTGGGGCTCATGGCGGGTGGGCTTGGAGATGGCTGGGGCACAGGTCCTTATGTTCCAGCTCCTACTGCCCTCCTGGCCTCTCCACTCTCCTGGATCTCGGCCCTGCCCTGGCCATTTCCTGTGTCCACAGCCAAGCTCCTGGAGATAAAAGTCCATATTTAAGCTCTTCGCTTCTCTCCTGCACACTCCTGAACGTGCAGAAATAGGGCTCCACGCCACCACCCCATCGAAGTTCTGGTGAACACCACCCGCACGTGCACGCTGGGTCTGGCCGTTCTCTTCTTGCTCAGGCTCTTGGCAGCATTCGACTGCTGCCTTCTCTTGAAACGCTCGCTCTCTCCCAAGCCTGCCGGCCGTGGCTCCCTGCTGGGCCTGTCTCCTTCTGAGCATCCTTCTTGGCCCGCTGTTCCTCTGCCTCCTACGCCCTCCCCGGAGTGCTTTCTTGGCCCCTTCTCATTTCACAGCACACAGCGTCCACCTTGTGATTCAGATCAGCACCTGGACCTGACTGTACTGCTCAGACTCAGACCTTTTCCTGACCCTATGAAGATACGCAAGTGCCTCCTGGCCATTGCTGTGGCTGTTCAGTCCCCTGCCTCCCTCCACACACACACACACAGCCCTCAGCTTGTCTAAAACAGAATTGTGTTCCACCCTCCAATCGCCTCCCTCTCCAAGTACCCTTCTCAGCTAAGGGTGCCATTGCCTGATGCCTCGTCTTCCCCATCAGTCCTGGGAGTCTCTCTCGATCTCGCGCAGTCTGTGCTGCTGGTTCTTCTCCAAGAACATGCTGGGTGTTGCCCCTTCTCCCCAGGTCTCCTGCCCTCATCCAGGCCCTCTCCTGGCTGCTCTTGGGCCGCTAGGAAGCTGCCTAGCAGGTTCTCTGCCTCTGCAGCACCTTCCTACTCATCCTGCAGCCCGTGTGCTTGCTGCCCTGGTTTGAATGTGTCCCCCAGGGTTGCTGTGTTGGAAACTTAGTCCCACGTGCAGCCGTGTTGGGAGCTGCGGCTCAATAGCAGGTGATGACGTCATGAGTGGGTTGAGGCTATCACGGAATGGGAGTGAGTTCAGCCCCTGCTTGCTCCCTGGTGCTCGGCTGCCCTTCTGCTCTCTGCTGTGGGATGACACCGCAGAGAGGCTCCTGGGCTTGGACTTCCCAGCCTGCAGAACTGTAAGAAACATGTCTCCCTTTGCGAATTGTCCAGTCTGCTGTATTCTCTTATGGCAGCACAAAGCAGAGGAAGGCTGTTGTCGGTTTACCGATTGAGCGCCCCTTGCTGCAGCTGGAAGCAGCAACTCCAAAGCTTGGCCCACAAAGCCTCTGCCGTCTGCACCTTTCCTCTGCTGCCTCCAGTGTTCGCTGCTTCTTCCATGTCTCTCATTCAGTTCCTTGTGCTGCCTGATGGGTCTGATGACAAAG